ACACCTTGTGACCTCCTTGTTTGTGAGATCACTGACATAGTTACACTTGGTTGTGGAAAGCATCGACTTTGTCGACATCACTACAACCGTATAATTTTTTGGGCCCGCTGCCGGCAGGGATGCCACCTGTATCCGGATTGTGAACATCCTCTACATCCAGATGCAGTATGTCCCATTTGTGCCTGCGGGCGCTATAGCGAATGTGCACTTAACTGTGATGGTGAACGCCCCACAATCGTCATGGCCTGCAACCGGCATGCCCTCTGTCGTGCATGCTTCAGAGGTAWGGTTAATGCTAGCCGCCCTGGCTCCTGCTGTGAAGAAGTTGCTTACCTGAATGGTTTTCGTCCTGTAGATCAGCGGGAGGGCTGCTACCATCCCCCGCATCCTTATGACAGTTGTCCTATCTGTTGTGAGGGTCTTACTTAGACGTACCTTGCACCCTGACAAAAATGTGCAGGTGCGCTGGAAAGAGAGTACAAGAATGTGCAAAGGTGGGGAACCCTTCACTAGAACTGCAAAACTGTGAAGAATGCAGTAAAAGAAGAACATAAGTTTGTGTCATTTTACTTTGTTTGTACCCTGCACCCTAACACCCTCAAAAGAAAAGTCCGAAGGGTGAAAATGAGGATGAGAAATGAAGGAGGAAGTGCAGGTGCGCCGAAAAGCGAACGTGCTAGACTCTTCACCAAAACTGCAAAACTGTGAAAAAAAGAAAAATGCAGTAAAAGAAAGAAGATGTTTGTGTCAACATTTTATATTTTTTCTCTCTCTGCCTATTGGTTTTCCTTTTCTGCTCCTCTCTTCCTTGTGTTTAACACCTCTTCCTTCACTCTGCCTCTTTCCCATAGCGTGCAAGTGGGCTGTTATGGCATACGGGGATGGGGGCAGCTCGCGCTCAACTTCATCAACGTGGTGAGCCTTGTACGTTAGAGGCACAGTGGAGGAGGAGTTAAGAAGACTGAAAACTGAATGATTTCAATGTGTCTTTGTTTTTTATTTTTATCCTTTGATTCAGTGTATTTTTTTTGTAAAACACTGAAAGAAATAATAATACTGTGAAACAAAGAATAAGAGGACACTGTTTCGTGTGATTCTGGTTTGTCCGTCTCTTTGCCTGTCTGTCCTTTCATTTTCCTTTTCTTCGCTCATCTTATTTCTTTTTCTACTTCACGTGCTTACGATCTAAGTCAATAGTTCTGTGACTATATATTCTATATACTCCTGGCCACTACACCGCTCTTGTCCGTGCCTCTGGTTCTTGGGAATTATGGAATGGTGGTGCTATGGTGCAAACTATTACTGCCATCTGTGATCTCGTGCGTAATCA